TTTTTAATTACGAGAGCTATTGAATGTGCGGCATAATCACCACCGCCAAATTTTATAACAAACCTTCTAAAAGTTCGTATCTTCTAACTGAATTAAAAGATTGAATTCAAATCATATAAAGCAATGATAAATCTTAACAAATGCTTATCCGTATCTCGAATGGGCTTGGTCGGAAAATAAATTAATACAATATGTGGAAACATTTGTATGGCAAAAACATGGGTTTTTTTTTACAATATCATTATTATGTGTTCATTATTGTAAAAAGCGAATTATTACACTAGTAGTTTGTAACAATTAATCATATCGTCTTGTCATAATAATTCGGATTCAACACGTTTAACATTAATAGTCTTGAATAAAATACACTTCAATGAAAAAAAAAAAGAGAATCTAATGATTTCTCAATCAAATATTATTTACCAAATCAACTTCTTTTTAAAATATTATGAATTCGCCATCAGATTTTACTGGCAATTGTTTCTAGTCAATTTCAGTGCAATTGATTTAAGCATTCCGACTAACTTCAACGGTGGGAATTAGTCCAACACAAAAAGCTTAACACGCTAATTTTTCACTTGGGTCCCGACTCTGGTCTGGAAGGATTTGGTTCAACATACTTTGCAGTTTGCAGAGACCATATACACACACACCAACCGACATGCATACCTCTTGCTTACTAATGTGCAAATGATTTTGACTTTGTTGCTAGTAAGAATTAAACTCATAAAGAACGTTTGTAATTGCATTTTGAAGTGAAATACAACTTTAAACTTTCATCTAATGGGTTACCGGAAAAGAACAAAAACTTTCATTTTCTTAAGAGAAGAAAGTTTCATTTAATTTATTAGTTTTTTTTTTTAATTACCGACCCATTTGGCGGGAGCGATAGCTCTAAAGGCGTGTGCAGTTAAACGTTTTTCTCCAGTATCACATATTGGCCTAATCACATACTTAAATCTTAAAGCATGCATGCGCAACTTAGGTGCATCATTTAAAAATACTATTAACAAAAGAAGTCGAAAAGAAGACGAGAATAGAAGTCTAATCAAACCTATCCACCATGTTCAGATCATTAATCTAAAATCTTAATCAAACCCCATTAGATTCTCATTAGTCAATTTAATATCTTGGCCAAAATAATCATTCTACCCAACGGTTTCAATTGGTTGTATTAAATTTTATTTTGCTTTCTGAATTAATTTAGTTGCATTCTCGTCTAAATGTTGTTTGAACAAATAAATGATACTGTATACGGTTGAATATTAAACAAAAAAAAATCATAGATATGGTATTGACACAAGGGTTAATTTGTATACTAACAAAGAAAAAATTAAATCTTAATAACTAATCAAAATCCCTAAATCTAGTGGCTATAATGTTGCCATATTGGGGGATTTTGGTTAGTTATTAAATTTTAATTTTGTTTTGGGTTATATTTACCAACTAGATAATTAACCCGCACCGTGTGCGGGTATGAAACGTTTTAGAGAAATAGATAAATTTTGGAATCTAAATAACACGATTTATTATTTATAAAAATAAACATGAATGATTGTTTTTTTAAACATTACATGCATATTTTAAACTTTATTCGTTTGTTTATTCTTTTTCATATTTTTTTTCATCTATTATTACTTGTATTTTTTTGTTTTATTTTCCTTTTCTTTTATCTAAGTTTTTTATTTTTTTTCGAATTGTTTTCTTATTTTTCTTTCCTCTTCTTCATTATTTTTCCTTTTCTTTGTATAATTCGAATTTCTAATTTTTATTTATACTTTTTCATCGTCTTTTTCT